GATCTTGCATGGAGCACCAAACCGAGTGAGACTGACAGTTATTTTGTTTCTTCCATTTGCGAATAATCTCACCAACTGTTGTCACCTTCTCACCAAGCTGCTTGGCGATGGTCTTGTAGCCCATTCCAGCCTTGTGTAGATCTACAATCTTGCCCTCTGACCTCCTTGGACAGCTTTTTGGTCTTGGCCATGGTGGAGAGTTTAGAATCTGATTGTTTCTGTGGACAGGTGTCTTTTTATATTTAAGAGAGTGCTCCTAATATCAGCTCGTTACCTGTATAAAAGACACCCGGAAGACAGATCTTGCTGATGAGGTCTCAAATACTTATTTCACTTATTGATATGCAAATCAATTTTCTGGAATTTTTTTTTTTTTGTTCTGTCTCTAACGGTTAAAATACACCTACCATTAAAATTATAGACTGATTTCTTTGTCAGAGGACAACTGTTCAAAATCATCAGAGGATCAAATACTTTTTTTTCCTTACTGTTTATAGAAGAACTTAAGACCACCTAACTATTTTTTGGGTAAAAAGTGTGTGGGCTAGAGGTAGAAGTAGTATGTTCCAGCTGACATCACAACAAGATTGACGGGTTGCTTCTTAATTAATCATTGCATAAAACTACATTCTTGTAGCTCTGATCTCAGAATAACGACCCATTCCAGTCATACGTGTTTTTTGAATAGAACAGGACTCTACAAAGGTGCCATGTCGACTAAGAATTTTTTTTCCCTGACCCATTCCCTCCTTAATCCCCGTGCAGCTCTCGGTGTGCTAGTGTACCAGGAGGAAGTGAAGGGACCTGTCTCCTCCACCCCCTTCTTTGTTTCTGAATATGCAGCCCTTGCCACACCTCCCCTGTCTATGATTGACACAGCCTGCATGAAAAAAAGTTTCACTTTCAATCAGATTACCACCTTAAACTATATCTCTCTGTAAATTGAACTTCAATCACATTGTAATGGCACTCTCGGCATCAAATAGTAAAAACCGCCGTTTAGGTAATCCTCCCCTCTCACCATAACGCAAGCTTCATTCGTACGAACTGCAAGCAGGGGAGTACTCCAATCTCCCGAACGAGACCCGTACAGGTACTTCACGTCCCAATCGGTAAACTCTCGAATCGCCGCTAACAGCCGAAACCATATACCGTATTTATCGGCGTATAACACGCACCGGCGTATAACACGCACCTCATTTTAAGAAGGAAATTTCAGGAAAAAAACATTTCAAATAAAGAACTTCTTACCCTCTTTCTACTCCTCCCTCTTTCTGTATTTCCCTCCCTTTCATTCCCTCGCCTTCCTACTTCCCTCGCCTCTTCTACCCTCGCCTTCTCTGTGCCCTCTCTTTCTTTTTACCCTCCTCTCTTTTCTATTTCCTCCCTCTTTCTATTTCCTCCCTCTTCTTACTTCTTTCTATTTCCCTCCCTCTCTTTCTCTTACTTCCCTCCCTCTTTCTTACCTCCTCTCCCTCTTTCTTTTACTCCCTCTCTCTCTCTCTTCCTCTTTCTACTTCCCTCCCCTTCTTTCTTTTACCTCTCCTCTTTTCTACCCTCTCTCTTTCTTTTCTACTTCCTCTCTCTCTTTTCTTACCTCCCTCCCTCTCTCTTTCTGCCCTCCCTCTCTTTCTACACCTCTCCCCTTCTTTCTACTTCCTCCCTCTTTCTTACCTCTTTCTACCCTCTTTCTACTTCCCTCTCTGTATTTCCCTACTCTCAAGCATGTGGAACAGGAGTTTGTTTCCTGTACCCGGTCAGACTGACAACCAACTGCAGCCGCCTGACCGCTCTTGACAGAGCGCTCAGGCGGCTGCAGCATTTAAAGGTCCGGCGTATAACACGCACCTTTAATTTGCCCCCTATTTTCAGGGAGAAAAAGTGCGTGTTATACGCCGATAAATACGGTATCTCCCAAGCGGCTAATAATTCCATCCGGCAGTCGCTATTCGTGTAGTAAATTCCCCTCCAATAACGAGACCAAGCTCCGCATTGAGGGTAAAACATGAACTGGGTTTACTGTGGGCTACCCACCCGTATTTATGCAGGTCTCCCACTTGGTGGACACTCCCCTAGAGGACCAAATGGGAGACTGTAATGGCAGATGGACATACAGCATTTTAGGACACACAGGCACATGATATTCCCAGCATGCATCATGGTTTCCTCCCCTCTGCCCTGGAGATAATTGAGAAGTAATTCAATTCTCTCCCAGGACAGAGGCAAATCGCCATTTTAGATGCGACCCAAAAAACATAAAAATTATATAACTTGACACACAGGCGGCTTTTGCAGGGTCTAGCAAGCTATCATAGCAGGGGATAAGAAAATCTAAATTAAACAGAACTTTACAGGAAGTGTTTATGGAAGGCTGTGCAAGTCACATGTAGGGAGGTGTGACTAGGATTCATTAACAAATGGATTTAACTCCTAAAATGGCAGAGAATTGAGCAGTGAGACTGCAGGGGCATGTTCTATACACCAAAACTGCTTCATTAAAGGACCACTATAGTGCCCTGAGGGTGCCCCCGCCCGCCGTGCTCTGGGGAGAGGAAGGGGTTAAAATCTTACCTTTCTCCAGCGCTTGGTGGGGAGCTCTCCTCCTCCTCCTCCTCTTCGGCTGAATGCGCATGCGCCGCAGGAGCTGCGAGCGCATTCAGCCAGTCTCATAGGAAAGCATTCATAATGCTTTCCTATGAACGCTTGCATCTTCTCACTGTGATTTTCATAGTACATAGTGACGATTAAAACACTGTTTTTTGTTTTTTGATACAAATTGTGTTAATTTAGGAAAAGTAGAGCTACATAAACAGTGATTTGCGCAGTGATACTGCAGGTGCATGATCTGTACACTAAAACCACTTCTTTAACTCCTTAAGGACACATGACGGAAATATTCCGTCAGGATTCCCTTTTTTATTCCAGAAGTTGTGTCCTTAAGGGGTTAAGTTCGTTGTTTTTTTTGCTTAGTGCCCCTTTTTAACCCCTTAAGGACCAACCTTCTGGAATAAAAGGGAATCATGACATGTCACACATGTCATGTGTCCTTAACGGGTTAAGGTAAGTGGTTTTGGTACTTAAACTGCTCATTTTAGTATCTGACTTTTTATAAATTATTTGGCTACAAAACTTTACCAGACAGGAATTTGTGTATATATTATGCCTTTTGGAACCGATAATGTCTTTTCATTTAACAAGGATTGAGTGCAGTTCCATACTGTTGATTTTGGCAAATATTTTAATTTTATGACTAACTTCGATGGAAGATGTCTTATATTTATATTTTATTTCAGTTGTGCTTTTATTTCCATGGCAATAACATGCAGAAGTTGCATAACTTTTCTGTACCATTCAGTTTTGTGTGGGGATGTTTGTCATCCTAATAAACCAAAGCCAATGTCTACACCTAAGTGTAAGCCATGATGTTTGAACTTGTCATTGGCTTCTGGGTAGAGTGGGCCATAGAGTGCCACCTACAGGCTTTTAAATCAAACTTAGAAATGTTCTATTCTTGATGCACACACTATTTGAAGAGAGAGATGTGCTACTACTATGGTTATAATGCATCACTGAACATTTTATATTAAGTGCTACCGTGGTACTTTTTGCAGGTGTGGTAAAGATCTTGGTGAGACAGGCCCCACGAGAAACTTCAATGTCTTCACCCCGTCCTTCTCTTGGTTCACCTTTACATTTGCCTCAAAACATAACTCGTCCACTTTTACGTGTCCTGCCAAGCACGCTTCCAGACAATGCCAACCCTAGAGCTGGGACTGGGGAAAGATCAGGTATGTGATGGGCATCGATTTATGTATTCGTTGGTCCAAAGGTCGGGTTTCTTGCACCACAAAGAAGTTATATCCAATGTCGGCTTACAGGTAGTTCCATATATTTGAGGGGTAGCACTTTTTTTAATCCTCAAAAATAAATGTTGGGTAGTCTGAAGTGTTAACTTTTTTTTTTTCTCTCCTTTCTAGCCCTTCCTGTTTTTTCTACTGCAGCTTGTGCGGTTGCTACATCTTCCATCACATTAGCCGCAAGCCCACTTCTTATGGTCTCCAGTCCTACACTGACTTCAAGACTCCCAGCCCCAAACCCTGTTCCCAGCCTTCATAACCACAATGTGCCAGTCAATGCAGAGGGCTCCCCAGCTGTTTCTGGTGTGGCACTTCGGCTACTTGCTAGTGGAACTTCAGCTACCCTCCAGCTCACCAACCATCACTCGTCACCACCAAGACATTCTCAGAGTCCTGCCCTCCAAAGCTGCCCAGCACAAAGCCCAATCTTTACCAACTGCTCTTCTTGTCCAGGACAGATTCCTGGCTTTGCTAATTGTTCCCCTGGCCAAATTGTAACTTCTGAATCTAAGACTTGTGCTGTCTTGCAAAAGGTTTCTCAGTCAGACACAGGTTCTAACAGCCAGGGCCTGTCCTTATCCACAGTCTCTAATGGCAATGGATTTGGGCAAAATAAAGCTCAAGAGCATAAAGACTCTCTTATCCCCCAAACTCTAACTCAGCCGATGTCCTCTCAGTGTGCTTCTGGCCCAAGCCCAGACCATGTCCAGTTTGTCAGTAACCTGAACCCAACCCCTGCCTCACCCCCTGCCCTTTGCAATTCTAACCATGCACCAGGAATTCCCAAACTGGCCCCTTCCAGTTACAACATTAATCTAGTTCCTACCCTTCTCACAAACTCTTCTCCTTCCACCGTCTCCAGTTATAGCCCTGTCCCTGCACGCTTCCTCACTAGCCCTGTGTCTCTTCTAACCCTTTCTCCTTTACCCTCTACCAATAGTAGCACTGCTCCGATCTTGTACACACATGCCAATGTAAACACACTTTCCTCTCTTGGTGCATCTGCAGTGAGTCACCAAACAACCATTCCTTTGCCCACAGTT